GGACCAATAACTGGTCTAAGTACATGGGGAAACCCACCCCCTCAAAATAAAAAGTTGATTAAATACTTCATATTATCAGGTTGTTTTATTCTATAAAATACTGAGTAAATAAATTTACTGTTTGTCCAGAATAGATTATTATTTTTCAGTATGGCAGTCTTCTTAACCAGTCTGTAAAATTTGATTGCTGCAAGACATCCATATATTTAGTTGCCATTAGCTACATTTAAGAATATGAAGAGGCATCATATAAAAAGAAAAAAATATTTATTTTAGATAACCATTGTAGCATGCTGAGCTAGATTTGAGACATTTAATATAATAACATTTGATATAAAGATTTCACTGCATTAATTTACTTACTACGCAGTTTCTTCACATCTGGAAGTATTTTTGTGCGCAGTGTGGATGGACTTATGTCAGTCTGCAGTGCACCCTCTAGATGGTGTACTGAATCTTGCGCCAAACGTAACCGGCGCTCTGCTTCCAAACGAGCTGAAACTTCCAGCCGCAACTCAGCTTCTGGCAAATCTTGCTGTACAAGCAAATCCTGCAGATCCCATACAAATTAAAATTATGGGAACATACATGATTTTAAAAGAAGTTTTGATGCGTACTTCATTTCAGATGCTTCAGTCTGTATGTTAAAGCTAGCAAGATCTGCAAATTAATAATTACAGATTTTACTGATCCATTTTTGTGTATAATCTCCACTTGTACGGATTCTGTGTTAAATTCAACCAACATAAGTAAAGTTTTGAAATTTTATATTATCAACAATTTTTAACTGTTAACATTACAATAAATTGTTTGTACAAAATTTGTATGTCTGTTTATTATACATCTCCAAACATGTGTAGCTCTCACAGTTCATTTGTTATTGCCGTCAAACATGAAATTGCATATAGATTTCACATTCTACAAAAAATATGCCTTAACAAATGTTGCATAATTTTCAAAATATCTATTACCACACAGAACTTTTGGCCTTACATTAAGAATCACTAGTGTTGCTACCACCCCAGACGTTTGCACAGCCATCATGTTGATACCATTAATGGCAGAAAATTATGAAGTACAAATGTATGTCATTCCTCTAACAGCATCATATTCTTGTTAGATTTGAGGTTCTCATAGCGGTCACCATGAAGACATATTTTTCAGGATATAATGCCATATAGTCTGGTAAAAGCTGATATTTCAGAAGAACACACTGCCTTTGTCTTTAGGATTGAAGAGTAAGCCAGCATGAAACAGGTAGCAAGCAGATTGATCATCTGAAATGTTGGCTGACTTTTGCCAGGATATACAGCATTATATCCCAGAAGTTATTAATTATGTGGGAGAGACCCAGAAGATCAGAATTGGGAGTTGTCTGTATGTCATTTAGAATATTCAAGCCTGAGAGATATCAAGCTTCTATGACATGAACTGAGGAGAGTCAGGACACAGGACACACACATGTATCTTTCCATGTATAATAGAAAAAGTTTATTAGAAAATCAATTATGAACTAAGCAGTTTTCTTTATATTTGTCTGAATTCTATTTGAAGATTGAAGCTCCAAATTAAATAGTAATAATTAAGTTTAAAAGATGACTGCATATCTTATATATTGTGTTTGCTTTTGTAATTTCCCCATTTTCTGAAGGCCATAATAAGGAAGAACAAATAAAACTGCAACATGCACTGTCTCTGGTAAGACTGTAATGTAACGCAGTTCATTACAGCGAAGTACCGGAGGAGGGTGGGGGGAGGGCAACAAATTCAAATAGTTTTACATTCAATTCTCACTAAAAAAAATGTAAATTACATGAAAATTAAATCTCCTTAACATCTACCATTTTCATTCAAAACATGTTCTTATATCGTCAGTACTTAACAAAAAGAAAAGAAGAAAGAAAATTCATGTGCAGTGTGGTATGTGTATTTGAGCTCACTGCATGGAACAGTGAAATGACTACAGGATTTATATCAATTGAAGATGGATGGAAGTTATATCTGATCTATCTTTATTACTAAACATCTTGTTGTACTGGTGAATACATCGGGAGCTGGGAATGAAACAGTCAGACACCTGGAACTTGAGTTGTCACAAAATATTGTCCCTGGAAAACTGTGTGAGCATTCAACTTCTTGGCATGGGCCACCTGCTCATGCTGGTTCCTCACTTGTGAATTTTTGTACCCTGAAGATGGAGGCGATATGTCCCTCTGAAACGTTGGTTTACACAAGACCTACACGGTTCCACATCCCAGAAGACGGCATTCTTAACATGTTTTCTGTTTATCAATTCACAACATGTAGGATTTGAGGTTCACACAGCAATGGTTAAGAAGAGCTCCACCTTCTGGAATATAACGCCATGCAGTCCGTTGAAAGTCAACCGATGTTTGACTCAGCTTATTCTTCAACCCTGATGATGGAGGCGATATGTTCCTTGGAAATGTCGCTTGACTTTCAATGGACTACATAGTGTTATATCCCAGAAGAGGGTACTCTTCAATTTACATGTTCTGGCCCAGACAGGCCATTATCGGGCAGTTCTTGAGGAAATACACAAATGGTAATGGACTACATATAAACTACAGTCCTAGTATAAAAAATTTTTCTTACATAAAATTTGCTCAGATCTGACATAATACTACATATACATTAGATTTCAAATTAAGATTTTAAAAATACTGAAACAATGCCTTCTAATCAGGTACCACACCAGCACAAGGATCCATCACCACAGAGAACTGCTCCACACATTTACTTCTGCATGCTAGCCTTCCTCAAACAACAGCAGACATTAGAATGGCTACTAGAAACCTCAAACAACATTAAACATTTGAATGGCTGCTAGAAACAATCTTCCACAAAGGAAAGAAAGAAAAACAAATGCAGCACACTAACTGTAAGATCCATCTACCACCAGGCCAATTTCAAAACATCCAATAATCACATTTCATAGGGGATCCGCTCTTTACATTCTTTTGGTATGATTTAAAAATTCTTAATTAAAAATTTAATGTATGGTTAGTATTATGTAGGATCCAATCCCATTTAAAGTAACAAACTTCTTTATACTAGCACTGTAGTGTACCCCCCTCGTTGGTGTCTCCACCTTATCATGGTGAGGGGGTTTGAGTATGCCAAGGACCCTGAGAGCTATACCAGCGGTAGTGTAGCTACTGGCAGGGCCTCCCTTGCTGGACAGGTCAAAGGGTAGGCATCAGATGAAGAGAGAGACCAAAAACCAAAAACTGATGCCGGAAGCAGCGTCATCAGCAGCGACTTGAAGCACAGAGCAAATGATGCTCAAGATGGGTCAAGTTCGTATAGCAACAGGCGTGACCAGAGTGGTTTGAATGGCTGTTGTACTGCGATGTGGAAAGCAAATAGAAAAGCTACCACATTATCACTTTCCTGGATAGTCTCTTTCCAAAAACAGAGATACCATGTATGCAAGATGTTTCCTCTGGAGATAAAACAAACCGGAAGGGTGGATAGAAGTGCCCAGAAGACGAGGAAGAAGACGTAAGAAGATGCTGGATGACCTTGGGGACAGAAGAGGATATTTTAATTGAAGGAGAAAGCTTGAGATCGCATTAAGTGGAGGAACTGTATTGGAAGAGACTGTGGACCTGTCATCTGACAGATTACTGATGAATGACTGTAGTGTACATGTAGCCTGTTACCATTTGTGCATTTCCTCAACAGTCACCTGATGATGGCCTATCCAAGCTGAAACATGTCGTGAATTGTAATGACAGTTCCTCCGTTTGTGCGTGTAGTTAATGTCTTCAATATAACTTTCTTTGCCTCTGCCTAATGTGACAATGGTGAAGGTATCGTCCCCTGAGATGAACTTAGCAATTTCAAAAGAACTACCAGTTCAACATGAGGGGGGCATGGTGTTTCTCACATTTACAATATTATACATTCGTTAGATGTGAACGAAGGAAATGACATGCAGAAAAATCCGTACTGACTGTGCCCAGTCTCAGAGCAAAGAGAGATCTCTAATATACAAGTCCAGGAACTATACCATACTTGTGAATGCATACGTATGTTTAGGTGTCACCAGTGGGATAGCCCCAGAGTGTGTATGAAACTTACATTTAAAGAAGATAGTAGTTGGTTGGAGTTTTGAGAAATAATTTTCTTTTCTTCTTCCAGAACTTTAGCTCTCAGTTCATTTTCTTGAAATCTATAAAGATACACAATATCAATTTCTCACTTCCAATAGAGAAAATGTATTTTTGTAAAATAATATTTCAAAATACGGCAGACAAAACAATCATTGTTCCCATACAGCAAACTGTTTGCATAACATTACTACACATGTGCATCTCCCTCTTCAGAATTATGAGGTATAATAGGAATTCCAATATATGAAAAGTATTTTGTCTACATGCCGGTCACGGTAGCTGAGCGGTCTAAGGCATGTACTGTCTTCGCTCGCTTGGAAACTGGGATCGTGGGTTCGAATCCCACTCAGGGCATGGATGTTTGGTTTGTGTGTGTTTTTCTGTGTTTGTGTACAGGTAGAGGCCTTGCGACGAGCTGATCACCCGCCCAAGGAGTCCTACCGAATGTGTAAGATCTAGAAAAACCGAAGTGAACGGAGTTCATGGAGGTAGGCCTAGGCCCACTGGGGCTGTAGTGCCGGGGGGGGGGGGGAGAGAAAAAAACTGTCTACATACTTTGACTAAGCAAGATTATATATAGCAGTAATGCTCTATACTTCAATTTGGGAGATACTGTATTGCCTCCAAAACCTCAAAATATACTCATAGTTAGGAAACTCTGCAAACTGTTCAACAATTGTAACATAATTAATTGATAGGGGTGTCAAGATTATTAAAAAATTATGCAGTTATCAGCTGTTTCAGGTACATGACCTTTCTTACTTAATATCTTAAGCTCAGAATGCACAAAATGGAATGAGGTAAAGTACTGCAGTTCAGAATTTTCTACAATACCTCTTTTCATTATGGTTTTTCATATCTTTTGGTTTCCTTCCTAATTCCCCCTCCCCCATTTTTAGAGTTCTGTTAATAGAAGAGAATGAATATTGCGTGGGTGGCAATAGTTTCACAGAAATAGTATGTAGCACTCATCTTGGCAGACAAAGAGGAAAATCAGAACAGAACATTTGTCAAGAGTAGCTAGCAGACAAAGTATTTTAACAGTACACCTCAAAGAAATCTGCCTCTATGTCCACTGGTCTCCTCAGTTGTCTTCTAACTGAAAACTATCATAAGAATAACTTTACAGACTTTAAATCTATTGGCAGCCCCAGTAATTTTCAACTTCTAAATATGAAATGCATGATACCCCCTGAATTGCTGCAGCAAATGTGTTGAGATTTAGACTACAGGAAGTAGAAGAGGCACATAAACATATCAAGCAGATGCAACACCTCACCTCTCTTCTACCTCTTGCTTCTCTTCTAAAAGATACCTCTGCTCCTCTTCAATACCTTGTAAATGAACCTGCAAATTCTGCGTTGAATGAGATGTTCTACTGTGTTGACCCTTTGGCTGATGTAGATTCTGCAGGATTTTCTTCTTTTCTTCTTCAAGTTCTGATAAACTGTTCTACAAGAAACAGACGTGAATGACAAGATGCTAGCCAAAGTGAATGTTTTATTAGAAACAGAGGAAAACACAATAAAATAATGACCATGCTATTCAAACTTTTGTTGACATACTGTAGGTACTCACTAGAAGACTCTGTGTTGTACTCTGAAGTGCCTCTTTGTCTTGCTGCACCATCTTCATGGCTCCAATTGTTTCCTCATATTCTAATTTCATAATTTCATGCTCCTTCTGAAATTCTTTAATCATTTGTTCCAGACGTTGTTTCTCTTCATCTAAAGCCATGTTTAACTTCTCTAGTTCCTACAGAAACATTACAATACACATGAACTATGGCTTGGCACAAAATAGCAAGGGACTGGAAATATAACATGATGGTATGCTGTGGCATGCTTGGCAGGATGAGTACACAAAAAAAGAAAGACATGAGGAGCAGGATAAGTCTGGAAAGCAGAAAGGAGATATAGCCCTAAAACTTCAGCAGGTAATCTGAAGAGAGGCAACTACTTTGAACAAGTAGTATAAAATTGAAACAGACCGAGGATATGGACTTAATCTGTCTGACTCAGGCCAGGATCTGGTGGCAAGCTCTTCTGAACACGGTATCTTCAGGTTCCTGAGAATTTAATTCCTGACACTGGTTTAAATATAAAATTAAAAAAAAAAGTAAAGCTATCCCTGTAACAGATCGTGGAGACCCATAGGGTTGTGAGACGTCAAGGCTCCCACATTTCCTAGACAGTGGGCTCACAGATGGTGGTGAGGTTGTCAGCTTTATATGCCTGCCATCCTTTACCCCCAGGAAGATTCCTGGTACTGATTTCTGTTAGAGGCTGAGTCTACCCTAGGGCCATAATGCAGCTGAAAGGATTAGGTCAACTGAAAAATCCAAGGACCTCACTGGGAATCGAACCTGTGACCTTCTGGCTTGTAGCATAGTGCCTCAACCAATTACATTACTACCTGCCCTCTTTCAAATATAAAATAAAATAAATTTAATTCCAACAGTAATGTATATGACAAAAAGGATCTTTTGCATTAAAATTATTTTCTTCAAAATTATGACAAATGCTTTGTAATTTTCCACAGACCTCTTTAACAGCTGTTATGTTTTGATGTGAGGACTTACTTTAAGTGGTATTTTCCAAAGTAAGTGGTAAGCATGTTTGACAGGGCTGGTCTAACTGCTGGACTCCCCTCTGCACATTTTCCATTTGGCATCCACAATGATTTAAAATGACTCTTAATCATTTATGTTCTTCCACTGAGTTATTTCTGCTGTGTTCCCCCATAATTGCTTTTTCCCACACTAAAATGTGTTTTATTTTCAAAGCATAAGTTCTCTTTTGTACCAGAGGGCAGTGGAGACTGGTTGTAGAGGCCAAGGCTCACCCAGGGCTGTAGCGCTGAGTGGTAGGTAGGTGTTCTCTTTTGTATTAATTCTTCCTCCACATCCCACCTACTCAAATCTAAACAGGATGTTATATGGTAATATAACTAGGCATGTCACATCCCAGAAGACATAATATTCACCTCAAACCTCTCATGTGTTAGGCTTGGGCTCCTAATGCATAAGTCTGGCCGTTTCCTAGGTTGTCTAGACACTCTTGTTTGTAAAGGTTCTACAGCACATATAAAGCAAAAATGTCTAAACACTGCTTTAGAAAGTTTCCCACATGTAGCACAGAGATTGTGGAAACAGCATTCTCAGGAGAGTGATACTTTTGTTTAGTATGATTCAGGTCTGAATTGATCCCGTGATTGTGACCCCATTAGAAATGCCAAAGAATAAATAAAATTCCCTGGCAATGAGTATATAATACAGAGTGAGGACTGTGCGATGGGGTTAATTCAGTTCACAATACCTACTACTCCTTTATCACTGAATGTCACATCCTGCTCCATATTTGAAATGTACTAGGTTGGAATCTTTGCTCACAAAAGAGGTATTCTGAGACATTTAGTAGTTTCCTTGGTGCACCTACACAGATGGAAAGATAATGCCTTGAAATAGGCAATGACCACTTCCTTTAACGTTCTTCACCTCTCATTATTCATACCCATCTTGTCCTCGGGAACTATTCTAAATCAATCAAAACAAACAGCTTCATAGTTGAGTTCTGTGTTCTGTGATATAATGCTGCATAGTCTAGTGAAAGTCAACTGACATTTTCAAGGACAGGGTTAAGAGTAAGCCAAGCAAGAAACCAGCAGGCAGCAAGTAGAGCTGGTTTCTTGCTTGGCTTACTCTTCTGGCCTGAAGATGGAGGCGATATGTTCCTCCAAAACATCGTCCGTCTTTCACTGCATTACATGGGGTTATATCCCAGAAGACAGAACTCTCCATAACCACTGCTGTGAGAACCTCAAATCTTACATCTTCTAAGTCATTGCCATTAGAACTCCATTTATGACAAATGTCTTCTTGTAATCAGAGATCAGTAAGGAATCAGGTAAAGGCGTGGAGGTAGTGAAATAGCCCTGTATCCCTAATGCTGAAAGAGTGAACTAAACTAAATTCAATGTAAAGTTTTGTGACAAGGTTTTAGGAACCAAAAGTATGTCAGTGACCCCTATCCATTGCAAATTATCCTATCATCTGTGCCTTCGTGTCTTATCCCTTTTGGCTTTCCCATCTTTTTCTTGCATCTCATCCTCTTTCATGTGTACATCTTAACAGCATTACAAGATATCTCGAGTAAATGGGGCTTAATCTTGTGGACTTGATTTATCTGAGTCATGATAATGACTAGTCATGGGCTCTTAAAAATACGGTAATGAACCTTCGGCTTCAATAAAAAGAGGTCAGTTTCCTTTGAGCTCACAAGCCAGGGTTTGGGCCACATATGGGTCCACTTCAAGCAACCCCCTAAATGTGTTTGGACTGGGGGTGGCCAATGGCGCTGAGAGTTCCCAGAGAAGGGGAGTGGTGCACAGAGTATCCTTCAGGGGTGTGAATGTCAGATGTGTCATCCCACAAACTACAAGGTATGTGACTTCGCAAAAAACAAACAAACAAACAAAAACAACAACAGGAAACAGTAATCGCCCCCCCCATGCACCCGCCTTGTGTCTAAACTGCTACGTCATGGAGGCCGTAAGACGCGACAACATCCCCCAACCACTGGCCAGTACCAACGACCAGACTGCAAAAATAACAGAGCCAACGCCCGACAAATGCAGGACTAATGGAGGCATGGTTACACTGATAGCCGCTGAGCAACACGTCATGACGGGACTACTGTCAGCAGAAACGAAGGGCGGCTGCCATCATAATTAAAGCTGTCTATGGTCTTGCCATGAGAAAAGAAGGGTGTGCCTTCGGTGTACGCGTAGCACGCTTTGCACTTTTCTACACGCTGGACAGAGAGGCGACATCGAAACGTAAAAGTCTCCAAAGGGTTCTGACGATCGTGTATAATATTCGGAACTACTAGGTTTTAGGACTTTGTCCATCGTCCGGTATTCTGGAAACTCGAAAACACAACGTTTCGGAAACTGGACCTGTTTCCGTCTTCAGATGAGAAGGGAGACACCTACTCTGTTGGGTCCCTTAGAAAGAGCTAACTGCAATCACTGGAACGTCAGGCTACCTCTAAGGGGCCCAACAGAGTAGGTGTCTCCCACCCCTAGGTTGAGGACGGAAACAGATCCAGCTCCCGAAACGCTGTTTTTTTTTCTGGTTTCTAGAATACCGGACGATGGACAAGATCCGAAACCCTAGTAGTTCCGGAAATGTTTCGCTGTACGTCACAATTTGGCCAAGAGCCTACACAGGGCTCGATGCCAAGGCGATATGAGTCGACAGCTCACAGAGGTCGCGTGGAAACACCGGTGGACTGAGAGACTTGCCCGCAATGCAGTCAGCGACAATCGAGATGGCCAATCCAATATCAGTTCACAAAAACGATATAATAAGTTTACGCATCCATTTGTATGCATGTCATTTAACCGCAAATTAAGATTGTACTTGTTATTCCTTCCGAAAATAAGAATGTACCTGGGCACTTAGCACTGTCAGTATTAATGAAGAAGGCACGTATTGCGTGCTGGGCTGCACGTACATGTTCTTTGTTTAAATCTTTGCATGCTGGTATTAATATATAAGCTGTCTGATATAACTGGCAAACACTTCATAGTTTAGTCGTCTGGGCTATGACATGTAGTAATGGCTGCGAAAGTTTCGGAGGAACATACTGGCTACATCTAACTAATCACTCCATGGAGCTGGCCCTTCTTGAGAAACCGCTAATTTTGCAGCTACTCAAGAACTTCCCAACATTTTATGGGACCCGAAGGTTCATTACCGTGTTCACAGGAGCCCTCCAGCAGTCCCTATCCTGAACCAGATGGATCCAGTCCATACCACTCCAGCCTATCTCTCCATTTTAATATTGTCCACCCACCTACGTCTTGGTCTTCCTAGTGGTCTCTTTCCTTCTGGTTTTCCCACCAATATCCTATATGCATTCCTCTTCTCCCTCATTCGTGTTACATGCTCTGCCCATCTCATCCCCATTGACTTGATCATTCTAATTACATGTGGCGAAGAGTGCAGTATAATTATAATGATCAAGACAAGGGGATGAGATGGACAGAGCTGGCTCCATCTCCAGGGTACTATTACGACAATAAAGTTAAGGAGAATCAGACTGGCGGATCTTGAAGCATATATGAAAGATAAGAAATACATACAAAATTTGGGTCGGAAACCCGGAGGCATTAGACCACATAGGAGACCTAGGCTGATATGAAAGGATAACATAAAGACAAGAAAATAGTTGGAATTGGCTGAAGGTGGGCTTTCGTGAACGTATTAATGAACCTTCGGGATCCAGAAAAGATGAGGGATTTCATGAGTAATAACTATCAGCTTCTCAAGAAAGACTTCTCTATTCCATGAAGCGTGGAGTGTCAGAGCTTTCGTTGGATAGGGAGTTGGGTAGGTTCCAATGCCGTTCTGGACGTTTCCTCCTGCTGGGAATCGAAGGCAATCACCCATCAATCACTTTATCCCCACATTTTTTTACTGTTCTCAGTGGGGTGAGTCTGAGTGCACTTAGTACTGCGGCCACTACTAGCCTATTGTACCAGTCCCAGATGATAGATGAGGGTGACAGCGAGCAGTGTGTGCAATGAAGACTGGCAGGGAAAGCCGAAGTACTCGGAGAAAACCTGCTCCAGTGCCATTTTGTCCACCAAAAATCCCACTCGAACCCGGGGCTCCGCGGTGGGAAGACAGCGACTAACCGCCTGAGCTATGGCACGTCCTTACCATCCTCATAAGTAAACAATGTGCGATA